CTCCAGAAATGCAGCTCTCACCCGTCTGGCATCTCTGCAGGGCAGCCAGCTGAAAGGCGGCTGACTGCTTCACCTTGGCCTTACTCCTCGGGGAATCCAAAGTGGCCACGTGACACTGCAGAGACGTCAGCCAGATCTGGCACTCCTGGGCTTGCTGCAACAAGGAGGGCCTGTGTTCTGGGTGGGAGGCAGGGCTGAGGAAGAGGCAGGCAGTGGACCAGGCGCCCCGACATCCTGGGGGTGGGAAGGGATGCAGATGGCCCCGTTTAGCAGCCCCTGCAGGGGTCCAGGCACCTGCATGGCCATCCAGGGAGGGAGGTATTATCATCCTGATGGAGGAACCAAGGCCCTCCTGGGACTCGCCTGCACTTGGTGATGGTGACACCTCTGCCCACATAGCCTCGGTCCCAGAGAACTGAAAGATCAGAAGATGAAGAAATGCCAGAACCAGGAGGTCCTGGGTCCTGCTCCATTGTCCTTTTTCTGAGAAAAGGGAATTTGAGGCTGGAGGGTGAGAGGGGCTCACCAAGGCAGAAGCCACAGCTTCCAGAAATCCATTCTGCTTTCCGCAGCTCCCTCCCAAGCTTACGGTGTGATCATAGTGGTTGATAATCACATCATGCCCTGGACCCTAAAACCCCAGTTGCTGGGCAAATTGGCGGGAATCCCACCACGTCAGAGGGGGATGGGCCCAGAAAGTAGGCCAGACATCTTCATGGGCACATTTACGATGCCTGTTACCCCCTGGAGACTCCCAGAGATGCTTCGAGGCAGGGAGGTTGTGGTTTGCAATAGACCACAAGCCCCAGTGACCAGCTGGAGGCTTAAGCACAGGCAATTTGGGTGTCAATGTCATTGTGCTTCCTTGTTCCCACTCCAGGGGGTCAGGCAGGGGCCACTCCCAGCACAGAATTGCTTGTAAGTTGACTGCCCCAGATCTCCCTTGCAGAGCCAAGTGGCTAAGAACCAAGACTCGAGTCATCTACCAGCTCCACTACTTGCTAGCTGTGTGACCCTGGACAACTTACTTAACCTCTCTGAGCTTTGGCTTTCTGATCTATAAAGTGGGGAAAAAATGATAGTACCTATGCCTCATAGGAAGGTTGCAAGGATTAAATTTTATATATAGTAGTCGCCCCCACCTTACCCTCGGTTTCACTTTCCATGGTTTCAGTTACCCTCGGTCAACCGCAGTCTGAAAATATTAAATGGAAAATTCCAGAAATAAACAATTCATACGTTTTAAATTGCAAGCGGTTCTGAGTAGCATGACAAAATCTCACACCATCCTGCTCCATCCTGCCTGGGACATGAATCATCCATTTGTCCAGCGTATCCCGGCATTAGTCACTTAGTGGCCCTCTCAGTTATCAGATCGACCGTTGCGGTACCACAGTGCTTGTGCTCAAGTAACCATTTCACTTAATAATGGATCTAAAGCGCAAGAGCACTGATGCTGACAATTCGGATGTGCCAAAGGGAAGCCGTGAAGTGCTTCTTTTAAGTGAAAAGGTGGGAGCTCACAAATTAATAAGAAAAGGAAAAAATCGTATGCTGAGGTTGAGAAGATCTAGGGTGAGAATAAATCTTCTATCTGTGAAATTGTGAAGAAGGAAAGAAATTTGCGCCAGTTTTGCTGCTGAACTTTAAACTGCAAAAGTTACAGGCACAGTGTGTGATGAGCGCTTAGTTAAGATGGAAAAGGCATTGAATTTGTACAATAGGTATTTTGAGAGAGAAAGAGAGAGGGATCACACTCATATCTTTTATAATTGTTCAGTTTTATTATTAGTTATTGTTGGTAATCTCTTACTGTTCCTAATTTATAAATTAAACTTTATCATAGGTATGTATGTATAGGAAAAAACAGTATATATAGGGTTGGGTGCTATCCATCATTTCAGGCATCCACTGAGGGCCTTGGAACGTATCCTCCATGGATAAGGGAGAACTACTGTGTATATACATTCCTTAGAATAAAAACTTACGTCAATAAATGTTGGATGTTGTTATTAGTTTAAACTTCCTGATAGAGACAGAGGGGATGGTGGTTGGTTGAAAACAGTGGTTCTTAGCTGGGGACAGTTTCCCCCCAGGGGACATTTGACAATTCCTGGAAACGTTTTTGGTAGCCACAACAGAGGGAGGTGGGTTTCCTACTAGATGCTACTGCATCTAGTGGGTAGAGGTCAGGGACGCTGCTAAACATCCTGCAGTGCACAGGACAGTTTCCCCAATATAGAATAATGGTCAAAATGTGCACGGTGAGGTGGTGCAGTGGGAAGAGGGCGTGCGAAGGGAGGAAGAGGTCTTCTAGGAGGGAGAGAGGCTCCCCAAGGATGGCTTTGGATTTCAGGAATAGCTGCCGTCAGGAGGGCCAGGTGTTTGGATTTCAAATACCTTGTGACTGGTATAGGGATGGCTCACTGAAAGGGGCTCATAAACAGCCCTGAAGGTCCCGCTGGTAGCTGGTGCATTCGGACAGACAGACACACAGAACAGACACAGGCACACACACACACACACACACACACACACACACACACACACGTGCTGTTGATGCTTAGATCACACACACACTACACACACAGCTTACCTTCTTTCAGTGAAGAAAAGAGGTGAATTTAATCTACCAGTTGGCAGGGCAGTTAGCAAATGAACTAGTCTTACAAATATATTAAGTAACTGTTGATGTCTCTTGTTTCCTAAAAATATAGATCTGGGGCTTCCCTGGTGGCGCAGTGGATGAGAGTCCGCCTGCCGATGCAGGGGACACGGGTTCGTGCCCCGGTCCGGGAAGATCACACATGCCGCGGAGCGGCTGGGCCCGTGAGCCATGGCCGCTGAGCCTGCGCGTCCGGAGCCTGTGCTCCGCAAGGGGAGAGGCCACAACAGTGAGAGGCCCGCGTACCGAAAAAAAAAATATATATATATAGATATAGATATAGATATAGATATAGATATAGATAGATCTGTCTCTCTTTCTTGGTGCATGTGTGTGGTGATAGGCACCTGGCACCTTGGGAAGAGCTCAGGCCTGGCCTCTAGGGTGCTGGTCTTGGCCCTTCTGGAAAGTTCTGTGTGACCCTATGCGAGTCTTTCCCCTCTCTGGAGCCCTGAGAAAAGAAGGAAAGCACGGCCCTGAGAGCTGTTAAGAACACCGGCTCCTCCAGACTCTGAGCGCCTCTGAAACCAGAGTGAGCAGCTGTAAGTTGGGGTACCCACATCTCTGCTCTCTGAGGATAAAAATTCTAATTGTAAGTCAGTTGAATTCAAATCAAGCCTATGTAATTATTTCAAAATCAGAAATTAAAAATGGGACAACAATGGCTTTGGACAAGTCTCTGAATCCTGGGATTCAACCTCCCATTACACATAACTGCAAAGTAACTAGCTGTTGGGCAGAATTCAGTCAATACATGTGTTTGCACAGGTCACTCTCTCCCACACCCGTGCACACACGGGCTTGTACACGCCCCAGTGAGGCTGACCCTCCAGGAGGCCCTGGGGTGAGCGGACACTGGAATGCGGTGGCCGAGGGCTTGAAAAGCATGGGCACTTGTGGTCAGCCTCACGCTGTCCTGAGGGGCGGATGTGGCAGTCACCATTTCACAGATAAGGAGATGGAGGCATTAAGATACATTTCCAAGTTCACTCGGTCAATACAGGGGCTGGATTTAAAATCCTCTCTCTCTCTCTGTTCTTTCCCTTCCTCTCTTACTTCCCAATTTTCCTGGTGCCACTGAAGCCAGCCAGCATCGCCTCCAAACTGCACTGTCATCGCTCCTGGCCTGGCCGCCGAGAAGCGTGTGACCTGGGTGCACACCGGTGCTGCCAGCAGTCAGGGCTGTGCTGTGGGGGATGACTGCCAGCCCCTGGGCTCCTCTTCTTGTTGATGCAGGGCCTATGGGTGGCCCCAGATGGCCAGCTGGCCCCTCAGTCTTATCCTTCTCTCCAGGCCTCTAGGTCTCTATTTAGCCTGACCAAATGGGATCAGGTGTCTGCTGTGCCACATGTCCTGGGATAAGGACCATTGGGGCCTGAAGATAATCTCCAGGCTGCGGTGCCCAGTGGCCTGGTTTCTGACCCACACAGTCTGGTGCCCGTCGGGGTGAGTGCTGCTGCGTCCCCAGGGGTCACGTGGATGCTGAGAGAATCAAAACAGGCTGCATCTGACACGTGCTGCCCAGGCGGTCTTGGTGGGATCTCTGAGGCCTCTGCAGTCATCCCCCCAGAGATCATCCCCGCCTTCTGCAGCCTCATTCCCTCAGTGCCCCCACCCTTGCTCCATCCGTCTGCACGTGGCTGCACTGGACCCTCTTGGATCGGCAATGCCCTTTCCCTCCACCCTTTGGGCAGGTTCTGCACAGTGGCTGATGCAGGATTAGAGTAGATGCGGCTTGGGTGGTCTGCTGAATGTCCCCTCTCCCTCTGCTGGACGGCTTACTCAGCCTTCTCGGGGCCCCAGGTTCTCCCCTGTAAGTCAGGAACCATAACTAGCACCTTCCTCATGGGGCCGATACAGGGTTTCAGTGAGAAGGTCTAGGGCAGTGGCTGCTTGAGGCTCAATAACTGTTAACTATCACTATTTTTATCCTCGAGGCACAAATGAAATGCCATGAGCCCTACTAAGAGCCAGAAGCAGTGTCGGCTGCTGGGCTGTCGAAACCCTACATCCCGGCCCCAGGGAGGCACAGCCTGGGGGGCAGGGAGCAGGGGCCAGGAAGAGGGGGAGGGGGAGGGAAGGGGAGGGGGAGGGGGAGGGGGAGGGGTTAGTGCGTGGGGCGGGGGGTGTGGGCCCGGGAGACCTTCCAACAAAGGAGGAACAGGCTGCCCTGAGTCTCAGCAGGTGAAGGTTGTCTCGGTGCACAGGTGGGTGCAGGGCATCGCAGGCAGAGGGCACAGCATAAGCCAAGGTCCGTGGCCTTGGAGCCCGCGGCCAGCTGGGCAACCATAGGAGGTGGGCCTGGCCAGAGTGCAGCGTGTGGGGAAGGGCAGCCGTGGGCTGGAGGAGTCGGCAGACGCTGGACCAGGAGAGCTCTGCAGGCCATACTGAGGACCTGGCCTGTGGGGGAGATGATGGAGAGGTGCTCTGGTTTCCTTTGGGGCTACCAAAGACAGCCCTTTACTCCTCTCGCGGATCAGTCCAAGGTCAGTGTTCCAGGTGGGTGGGTAGCTGGCTTCTCAGTCGGTGACCCAAATTCTCACGTTGCACTGACATCCCTTAAGTCCTGGCATCATCCGTATGTTTGAGGCAGGGTTGCCTCCGGCTCCAGAATTCTGGAGGCTGGGAAGACCGAGATCAATGTGCTGACAGACCCTGGCTCACATGGCAAAGAGCAGCCTGGGGAGGGTCCTTTCATTTCTACAGCCTGGTGCAAGGTACACGGGTGGGGGGAGGGATGGAGGGAGGGAGAGAGGGAGGGAGAGAGGGAGAGAGACAGAGAGAGAGAGGGTCTTTTCTGGGAGATACTCGGATATAAGTTTGGGGTGGATGTGACTCCCACCTCATTCTGGGCCTTCAGAGGAAGGGGAGAAGCTCCGCACAGCAGAGAGAGAAGATTGCGGCCCCAGGAAGGAGGCAGTGGGGGAGGGCGATGTGGAGGACCAGCCCTGCACCCAGGGGCAGTGGCGGAGGAGGGAGGGGTAGCACCCTCCCACCTGCCTGAATTTCCCAGGAAGGTCAGTCAGGCTCCTGAAGGGTGGGTGCTGTAGACAGTGAGCCTACAGGGGGAGGGGTCCAGTCTGGGTGGAGCAGGGGCCTTGCGGGACAGGAGAACAGAAGCCCTGGAACTGGTAGAAGTCTTGGGAGAGGTTTTGGACTCAAAGGGCCAGAGACCCTAATGAGCTTGGAGCCAGTTGGAGCCACGCTTTGAGGGGTGAAAGGCCCCTGCGGACATCTGGCCACATCTGCTTGGTCTACACTCGGAGCCTCTTCCTGGAGGACTGGGGGCTTATGTGTAGCATCTATGACTCTGCGCCATCCCCACCCAGCCTTCTGGGAAAGTCCTCTGTAAGTCTCGTCAAGGGGACAGAGCCTAAGGGGGATTAAGAAGCCCTGGTTTCCTTCTCCACACGGTGCTGGCTGCCCCTTTGCTGTCAGATCCCTGCTCTGCCCTTCTGTGCCCGGCAGGCTGACCAGAGCATCACCAAGGTCCCTGCCCTCTGGCTTTTGACTGGGTCCAGCCAATGGGAAGCCAGGTGGGCGGGACAAGAGAGACGTCGGGGGTGTTCATTTCTCCAGCTCCCCCTCTGCTTTGGGCCTAGGTTCCCAGGGACTCCATCCCCCATGGCTGCAGCTCTTCAGGCGGCTTCTCACCAGGCTCCAGAGCATCATTTCCTCCCTGGGATGGTAACAGCTTCCCATGGCTCCTGGACTCCGGGTGCCTCAGTCTGCCTTAATGCCCTTGACCCTGCCCACCCCTCTGTCCCCTCATCAACTTCATCAACTCTTCATTTAACCTTTTGCATGTGCCTGCTGTGTCTTGTATTAGATAAAATATAAGATATCCAGTTAAACTTGACTTTCAGACACATAATAAATCATCCTTCAGTCTAAGTACGTCCCCAAAATTGTGTGGGATATACTCATGCTAAACAATTCCTTGCTGTTTATCTGAAATTCAAATTTAACTGGGTGTCCTGTATTTTTCTTTCTAAACCTGGCAATCCCACCTGCAGCGTCCCTGACTGATACACTAACACATCCCTCAGGTCATGGGCATTTCCAGCCACCCCTGACTAGAGGAATAGGTGGGTTTCAAGCTCTTATACTCTGCCCTGCTGAGACGGAGCTACATACAGGCTGCTTCTTTCTCCTATTGGGGCAGTGGGAGGCTTCCCTGGGGGCAGGAGCATAGTGTAAAGACGAGGAGACTGGCCCAGACATCTCCGCAGTTGTGTGGCATCATCCCCTAAAATGCCCCCAGGGCCACGGGCAGAAACGGCCCCAGTCCCTGTTCCCATGAGCAGGTCCTGGCCATCAGCAGAGACGTGGCCGAATTCTCAGCCTCAGCTTTGAGCTCACAGCAGAACCCCGAGGGGGGTGGCATCCAGGACAAGGACGTTTGGAGAGAGAGGGCAGGGTGTCAGATGGACTTGGAGTCTTAGACTCGCTCCTCTGCCACCAGGGGGAGAAGACGCGCTGCCTTTTCAGGGCTCCTGTGATTACATCAGACCCACCTGGCGATCTCCCACTTCTCAGTCCACTGATGCAGAACCTTAATTGCACCTGCACAGGTGATGTAATCACGAGTGTGATGGCTCGTCGTATTCACAGTCCCGGGGCCTGGGGAACCCTGGAGCCAGGTGAGAACTTGGTTCACCTCTGTCCCCTTCCTCCTGGCCTTCCGAACTCCACACCGCCCTGGTCCTCCTTCCTCACTGTGGCTCCTGCTTGGTCTCCTTCGCCCCGTTCACCCACCAGCACCAGCATTTTTAGGAACATCGGGATGCCCAGAGCATCTAGGGAGCTGGCAGAAGCCACCCCAGCTGGGGATTCAGCCCCTACTCGGGGAAGCTCGTGGCCTGGGTTTTGGGGGCCTTGCCTCCAAGCTCAGTGGTGGAGTGACGTCCCAGGGTCGGGTAATACCCCAGGAGAGTTTGGGAAGTGCTGAGACTCCACGGTGAGGGGTCCACGGTGAGGGGGCAGCGCTGGCAGCTGGGGGTGCACGTCGGGTGGGCGACCCAGACAGAACTGGCTCTTTTTCCAGCTTGGCTACAGAGCTTCAAGAGAGGGTCTGGCCTTAACCAGAAATGGCTGTGGACCTGAAAATGGCACAAATGCTGGACTAACATCAGGCAGAGTGATAGTGATAATATCAGCTTTTTTGTGTCGGGGGGCACCTACTATGTTCCAGCTGCTAAGTGTATGTGTATATCAGCTAATTTAATCCCCACGGCTACGTATGAGGTAGGTACTATGTTAACCCCCATTTCCCAGAGAAAGAAACTGAGGCTCAGCAAGGTCAGGAGACTTGCCAAGACCGGACAGCTCATGACTAGAGAAGAGCTGCTGAGGGTTGTCACATCTGCCTTCACTGCCGTGCCGAAATGTGACATAAATCTGTGCTCAATATTCACAACGTGGTTATAACGGCACAAGACTTTCTGCGGGGAAGCAGTTGAACTGGGACTTAACGAGGGACACGATGAGGAAACATATTTGGCTTCAGTGTAAGGAAGGGCAGATGTTCTGGCGGTCAGAGTGGCCCAAAGGTGGACACGGCTACTTTGGGAGGGAATGAGGTCCCTGTTCCTGGATATATGCAAGTGAAGAGGCTGTTTCCATTTTCTGGGGCCCTGGTAACAACAGATACTGTACTGAACATCCTACACGTGTCATCTTTAGGTTCTCACTGCTCCATCACATAGGCGCTGCTGTCCCCGATTTACAGGTGAGGAAACTGAAGCCCAATGAGATTAAGTGACTCAGTGATGGTTATGTAGATGGTTGGTGGGGGAGCCATGACTCAAACCCAAAGCTGTGTATCTCCAAAGCTGTGCTTGTACCCATACAACTATCGAACGCCTGCTGTGTGTCTGGTACTATTCTTCTAGACGCTAAGACCCAGCAGGGACAATTTAGTCCCAATCCTTGCCCTGATGGAGATCAGATTCCAGTAGGGAGAGAGACAGTCCAGAGTAATGAGACCAAAATAGACCTCAACGAGAATGAGGCGAGACCAAAGGTAAGCAGGAGTCAGGGGGGTTCAAGATGGTCAGGGGAGGCCACTCTGAGTGGTGCATCTGAGCTGAGATCGGAAAGGAAAGAAGAAAAAGTATTATGAAGAACTGGGGGAACGGTGCTCTGGGCAGAGGCAACCACGGGTGCAAAGGCTCTGAGTGGGGCAGGAGAAGAACAATGTGGGAAGCATGGCCAAGCTGGGGGCCAGATCACTGGGGGCCTGGTCATCCAGGGTTTAAGCTTCATTTGTAGTTATTAGAGGGTTTTTAAGCACTGGTGTGCTGCAGCCCACTCATGCCCGCACATGAGAACCACCTGTTAAATCTTCAGGATTTTTGCTGTTGTTAAACTATTAGTAGCCTGAAATCAGCCATGGTGGGAGTACTTACACCATGGAAATGGGCAGCAGGTGGGTAAACATTTATCTGCCTCACACTGGTTTTAGACAGGGAAGTGGGGAGAGTGGATCTGTGCCTGAAGGAGCGCCCTCTGGCTGCACGGGGGAGAATGGCCTGCAGGGGACAGAGAAGCAGGGATGCCCTGCAGGGAATGTCATTGCAGGGATGCCCCGCAGGGAAGGCCATTGCCTTGGTCCATGTTGGAGAGATGGGGGTTTGGACCAGGATGGACCAGTGGATGGATCTGAGTGATTTTGAAGGCAGAACCAGTGGGCCTTGCTGAGATGACCCCATTACTGAAGCTCAGAGCAGGGAGGTGACCTGCCCAACGCTACACGTCTGGAATATGGAAGAGGTATGATTGAGCCCAGGCCTACCAGGCCCCTAAACCCTTTCTGTTCCCTATACTTCAGTGTTTCCCTAAGTTGCCATGAAGATTCTTCCTGGGAAGCTTATGGTCTAGGATGAAGAGGAAATAATTAATGATGTTCCTGGCTGCCTGTGGTCAGAGCACCCCTTTCCCACACCTCTTCCCAGGAGGGTGGGTCCTCTGAGCTGCGGTTGGGGGTGGGGTGTGGAAGGAGCCAAGATGTCACCGTCATAGACACTGGGAGGCCCAGCTCCCACTGGTGGACACTGGGGCCATGGCGTCTGTCCTCCCTCCCAGGAGGGCCCCAGGAGGGCTGCCCCAGAGATGGTCTTGGAGGGTCCTACGACCTGCTTGGGAGACTCCCAGCTCTGGGATGCGGGACCTCCCCTGGGGCAGGGCAAGGACCAGGGCTGGAACCAGTCTAGGACCTCAGAGGAGGAGCTGCCACAGCACAGCTTCCCGGGGGCTGGGGCTGCTCTGGTTTTTGCTGGGGTGGGAGGGAGGGGATAGGGATATATCTGAGAGTCTAGCTCAGTGGGAGCGGGGGATCTAAGCAACGCCAGGTCTTAGCGAGATGTCGGCAGAATCACTAGGCCCCGCTTGTCTGCCTGCACCTGCCCCCCCCCCCCCCCCCCGCCCCCCACAGGCTTCACACACTCCCAGTCCCTTCCCTGAAGCCGCCTATTGGCACCAATCCCAGCAACAGGGCTCATCTGCTCCAGCCCCTCCCTGTGTCAAAAGTCACTCTCAGACAAGGGTCCTGTACTGCGGGATCACTGTCACTGTGACCTTCTGCAAGAGGCGAGAAGGGAGGAACAGAAGACAAAACTAATCAAATACCTACCAGGTGTCAGGCAGAGCTGCTTGCTTTCCTCAAAGAGTTAAAATTACAGAAAGGTTTCCCCTCATACTCAGCCCCTAAAATAAGGCTCTAAAAAGTTTACTCTTATCCTTCTAGACTTTCTTCTTTGTACACACACACACAGGCTATTTTTTTAAAAAACTGAGATAATGTTACGTGTTCTATGTGGATTATTTCATGTAATCCTAGGTTGTTATTATCTCTACTTTGCATTTCAGGACACTGGCGCTCAGAGAGGTTATGTACTTTGTCTAAGGTCACACAGCTGGTAGAACTGCCTGGCCCCACAGCCTCACTATCTGCACCTTGGGCATCACCTATGGGTGCAGAAGGCCAGCCTTGTTCCTGCTGGGGGGCATTTGGGGCTGCAGAGCAGGTGGGGCTGGAATTCTGGGCAGAGGCCTGATCCGGCCTTCCCTTCTGCTGTGCTGTGAGGCTCAAGCCCTGGGGTCAAATTCCAGCCCCACTGAGTCCTTGTTAATGCTTTTTAAAAGGGGATTCTATTGCCATTTAATTGTGGCTCTGCCCTTGAAGCAGACTCCCAGCCGTCTGTAACAGACAGCTTGGCCTTGGATTTCTCTCTCCCAAAGCCCAGGGGATAGAGGCTGCACTGGGAGGTCTGCGACCTGGGCCACTCACCAGCTGTGGAACCTTGGCTGTTCCTGCCTCTCTCGCCTTGATGTCCTCTTTTCAAAGTTCCTTTCAGCCCCAAGGTAAGCCCATGACTCCACCCCTAGTCACTGCAGCTTGCTGGAGAGAGGAGGGGGAGGAAGAGGACGAACCAGAGCAGAGAGGAGGGCTCGGGGGCAGCTTAGTGGGTTTGGAAGGGAGTGGGAGTTTAAGAACAGGTTCTGGAATCCCTAGACCTGGGTCCAAGTCCCAGGGCAGGACCTATGCAGTTGTACAAGGCCCAGGCTCAAAAGATTCCCGGGGCTTCCCTGGTGGCGCAGTGGTTGAGAGCCCCAGGTCCGGGAAGATCCCACATGCCGCGGAGGGGCTGGGCCCGTGACCATGGCCGCTGAGCCTGCGCGTCCAGAGCCTGTGCTCCGCAACGAGAGAGGCCACAACAGTGAGAGGCCCGTGAACCACAAAAAAAAAAAAAAAAGATTCCCTACTTGGTTTTACGTTCTGTCATTGCTGTCTTGAAATTCTTAACTTTCTGAGTAAGGAGCCCAGCATTTTCCTGTTACGCTGGGTCCCACAGATTGCACAGCCAGACCGCTGCCGCGTATGAGCCGCGTGCCCTTGGCAAGTGATTTCACCTCATCGATCCTGAGTTTTCTTATCTGCAAAATGGAGTGATGCTTACACCCCCTGGGAGGATTGTTCTGAGAATTCAAAGAGAGATGCCTGGTAAAGAGCCAGGCAGCAGTAAGTCCATAACCGGTGTCAAGCCCTGGTAATTGTGGCCATCTTTCTGTAGGGCTCTGTAGGGCCTGACAGGGAGAAATAGCTCTGGAGCCGCAGTCTCTCTCCCAGCCTTGTCCACGGGGGCAGGCGGGGGGCACATTTCAGGCCAAAAATAAAATCCTCGTGCTTCCCTGGTGGCACAGTGGTTGAGAGTCCGCCTGCCGATGCAGGGGACGCGGGTTCGTGCCCTGGTCCGGGAAGATCCCACATGCCATGGAGCGGCTGGGCCCGTGAGCCATGGCCGCTGAGCCTGCACGTCCGGAGCCTGTGCTCCACAACGGGAGAGGTCACAACAGTGAGAGGCCTGCGTACCGTAAAAAAACACAAAAACAACAACAAAAAATAAAATAAAATAAAATCCTCACTGGGAAGCGAATGGTGCCACCATACCCACAGCAACCCCTGCCTGTGGCTATACTGGGTCAAGTGGTTTAGGGCCCTACGTTCCTGGGAGATCAGGTGCTGTGGGGTTTGAGCCTGGGGAGAGATGAGATGTCTGGTGAGGCTGCTCCAGCACCTGCTTTCAGCCGGGAGAGGGTCAGTCACGTGACCTTCATAAATGAAGGCCTGATGCCTAGATGGAATCTCCCCAAGGGCCGCCTCCTTCACTCTATGTCTTGGCTTGTAGGACCCCCAAGGTGTTGTCCCAGCACCTCAACCTCCCAGATGATTCCAGAGTCCCGACTTCCTGGATTCATAGCTCAGCAATTTCCCAACGGTGAGACCTGGAGCAAGTTACTCAACCTCTCTAGGCCTCAGTTTTCCCATCTGCGAAACACTAACAGGTTTGACCTTGTGGACGTGTCGTATTAAATCAACGCCCGCATGAAAAGTGCTTACAAGCATGCAGACAACGTCAGCCGCTGCAACGGCTGGCCTGCCTTCTTCCACTCTGCGCTGAGCCCGACTGCGGGCTCCGAAATGCCAGTCTGACCACGCCTCTCCTTCAGCCGCTCGTTGCCTTCAGGATGAAGACCAGACTCCTTGTTCCGGCTCCTCTGAGCCTCCATGTGGTGAGGCCCAGTTCAGGGGCCATTTCCCCTTTTAGAGTCCACAGCCTCAGGATTTGCTCAGGGAAACCTCCGGCCCCCAAGGCAGAGCCTATGATGTGACTGTCAGCCAAGCCAAGGGGCGGGCACATGACCCAGGCTCAGCCAGCTGGGCACCTTCTGTAAGGACTTTGATTATTATTATTTTTTAAAATAAATTTATTTTTGGCTGCATTGGGTCTTCGTTGAGGTGCGTGGGCTTCTCATCGCGGTGGCTTCTCTTGTTTCGGAGCACGGGCTCTAGGTGTGCAGGCTTCAGTAGTTGTGGTGCACGGGCTTAGTTGCTCCCTGGCATGTGGGATTTTCCTGGGCCAGGGTTCGAACCTGTGTCCCCTGCATTGGCAGGAGGATTCTTAACCACTGCGCCACCAGGGAAGTCCCAGGACTCTGATTCTTAAGGATGGAGAAGCTTATGGAAAGGGGTTGGGAGGGTTCATTTGGGAGGTTATCCCCCTGAGTTCCTGCTGCCTGGATCTCCAGGGCTGCCCTGAGCCCCGGTCCTCTCTGAGCCTGGGTTTTTAGCCTTTCTCCTGATTCTGTGCAATCTCTCACAACCTTCCATTGATGCTCTCTTTGTCCAGAGTAGCCCTGTCAGTTTCTGTTGCAGGCATTCAGAGATCCTGGTGGATACACTCTGGCTTCAGACACATCCCAACTTTGACCTTCACCTTCTGCTTTTAAGTATCTACCTGCATTTCTCAGTCCATGCATGCTACTTTGTGCCTCTGAACCTTTGTCCCTGCTGTTCCTTCTGCCGGGAATGTCTTTCCCACCTTATTCTCCTCATTCATTCTTACCCCAAGAACCACCTCAGACATTGTCAACTCTGCGGGGACTTCCTCCAATCCTCCTCTATACCACACCCCCGCCTCCAGGCTGGCTCTGACCCTCTGGGCAGCCCTAGGCCCTGGGCTTCTCTCCCTCAGCAGCAGCATTTCCTCGTCTGAACCCAAGACCAGATCCAGGCCCACCCACCTCCATTTCTCAGTTGGCCACAACAAATGTTTTTTGGGCTCCAGAACCATGGAGGGTCATACAGGCAGCTCCCTTGGGACCTGCTCAGGGATTCCTCAGCCAACTAGGACCAAATCCATTGCCTGCTGAGGAGGGGTCATGAGGGGAATTGCTGAGGACTGCGAGATTGGGAATCGTCCCAGAATAACAATGAGCCTAACTCCTCCGGGTTGGCCATTGCTCCAGCCCTAGCCTTTGATCCAGAGCCTGTGCCAGCCTTTGTCATAGCCCCAGCCCCTGCCCCAGCTCAAGCCACAGAACTGACCTCACACCCCACCCTCGGCCCCAGCCCTGTCTCTGCCCCTGCATAGGCCCTTCCCCCCACCTCTGCCCTCACTGCAGACCCCCAGCATTCTTCCCAGTGAGACCCACCCAGGCTGCCCTCTGTAGAGGTCCTGCCTCTGATCGAATGGGGCTTTTGGTGGGGAAGGACTGGCCAGTTAATCGGGCGGTGAATAGAGCAGGTATATCAGAGGTAGGTGCCGCGCCCAAATCCCCTCAGTGGCACAAGACCTGCAGCTCCAACAGTAGGTGACAGAGCCGAGCCTTAGGCAGGGGCAGGGGCAGGACCAGGTTTAGGTCCTGAAGGTTCCTTCTGTTCCTCACCTCCCCTGCCCTGGGCCAGACTTTGTCCTGAGCCATGGACAGGGCTGAACCCTCCATGGTTGCTGAGTGCCCCAGCTGGGGAAGTGCCTGAGCTATAGCTACCCAAAATCAGGTAAAAGGAGGCAAAAGGGGGAGTCCCAGGACAAGCCAGTAGGATTGGGGAAGCTTGCAAGGTTGGGGTATCAGTAAAGACCACCACAGATGACCATCCTTGAAAGAAAGGCAAAAACAGCCCAAGTCTCCCCTGAGGTCACCAACGCCTCTCCACCCCTTCTCCTTGGGAACTGAACCAGGGCAGCAGGGGTGGGGAGGGCCACAGGACCTCGGGGAATCAGGCCGTCCACTCCACCCACAGGTGGATCCTGCAATGGACACATCATGAGGACAGAAGCCAGCACTGTGATGTCACAGCTCAGGTGCGGCTTTGTGCTCCTGGAGCTGTCGAGTGAGTCAGCTGGGCCCCTTCCTCCTTCCCGTGCTCATGTACCTGTGTCCGATGCTCAGGGCTGGACAGGTTGACTGTGTAGCCCCACCCCTTCTCTCCCTGCTCCTCCCACGTGCTGGGGCAGGCCCAGCAGATGGCCAATGATCAGCACGCTTAGGGAGACTGTCTTCTTTTGGCCATAACTAGCAACCAGTCTTAGGAGAGTGGCCCAGGAACTCTTTGCAAGGCTGTGTTGAAACCACCTGTCAACTAGGCCACCTTCCCAGCTTGACCGTGAGCTCATTCAAAGGGTCTATCCCGGTCCCCAGTCTAGCTCTGTAGAAGCTCAGAGTATATGATGTTAGTTAAATGCATAAATGGCTGGAGGGACGGGTGGGTAGAGATAGATGACAAAGGTATCTCCTTCCTATGTGGGCTACTCTCTCACCCGTCCCCAGCTCTGACCCTCGGAGTCTTTCCTGAATGCTCTTGGAAGCTAGCACCTGTTGGAAGTCCCAGGCATTTTGGTACCCATGGGACTTGACGGTGATGGAGCTGTCCCAGTTATGGGGTGACAAAAGCAATAATGCCACTGCAGAATGGCACATTTGGTCCCTCCAGAGCTGGGGGGCACAGCTCAAAGACCTCAGACTTTGAACTTAATGAAAGCCGAGTCCAAATCCAGCCCTGTTGTACATCCTCAAGCTGGTCACAGGGGCCTCTCTGAACCTCTGTTTCCTTTTCTATGAAGTGGGAATGTGAACTGGCTTCTGAGGACCGTCAGGAGAATCAGAAGAGAAAGCTGCTGCCTTGACTGTTGCTGTGGCCATCCATCTTCTTCCTGCCTGGCCCACGTGGCCCTCATCCTCCAGTGTAGCCTGAGGTGGTGAGGGGCAATGTCGGCGAACGTGGACACAGGCCAGGAGGCTGGCCTGAGCAATACCGGTGACAAGGACAGGGACCTGCAGGTGCTGTTCCAGGAACTCTGCCAACTCCAGGCAAAGTACGAGCTGTCCCAAGCCCCGCCGTGCCCCCTGCCTCAGCCCCAGGGCCACCTGCGGTGGGCTGAGCAACTGGGACTGAGCAAAAATGCCTGAGGAGGCCAGGCCAGGAAATGAACGGCAGGGGACTGAGGCCCGGGAGCAAGTCAGCAGGGGCAGCTGATTGGCGAGTGGTGGGGAGGTGGCGGGCTTGGCTCCCGCCCTTTGAACTCAGACCTTGGGCCAGTCCCAGGCCCTGTGCAAGCTTAGTCTCCCTCCACGAAGGCAGGGCTGTAGGTGACCATCCCTACGCATCTGTCAGTTCGGCCCCTCTAAAATCAGCCTGCAAGGTTGCTGCTGTGTCTCCAAGCAGACACCCTGAATCCTTGCCCCTTGGTGACTCTTCAATTTCAGGCTGCCCACGAAAGCCTGAGTTATATGCAAAAGGATGGATTGATATCTGTGAGTGATTTTATGGAGAAAAGTCCCAACCGGTCCATCGGATTCTCATAGAGCTTCCCAACCTCCCCACTGAAAGGTTTAGCACTGTAGCTCACAGGGCCCCACGTGGTATTTGCCAGGGGAAGACAATTTTTTCCTGCATTTTTCAGGACTGTATGGATGAGAAAATGGGGCCTGAGAGGCAGAGTGGCTTGCCCTGGGGAAGTCAGCAGTCACTCAGAGATACCCACCACAGCCTTTCCTGCTCTGCCCTCTGCCCTTGACCACTGACCTTGAAGGCGACCAGGGTGGGCAAGCTATTGGAGACTCATCTTGCTTGGTGATGCCCCCTGATGGCTGGGCAGCAGCACGTGGCTGTCGCCCCTCTGGGGGCTGCCGGGGCCCCAACCACAGACTGAGTGCTTATGATGTGCTGGGAGCCCCAGACCCGGTCCCCACCGGCCTATGAGGGAGGGGTCTGGTTACCCCTGTTATGGACGGGCCAGCCAGGCACAGAGAGGCAAAGCCTGTGGCCGGATCACCGGCTACTGGGGACTCAGACCATCTGCCACCAGCTCAGCCTGCAGGAGGGGCTCCATAGACCCCATGCCACAAAGGCCCGGCCTCGCTGGTCCCCAGGCCCCTTCCTCATGGCCTGACCACAGGCATCTCTTTGACCTCTTTGTGGCTCAGTTTACTCAGCAGTGAAATGGGGCTGGAGGGACTCAAGTTAGCGGCCCATTGATGGGGTCAGTGACCAGCCCAGCCCGGATCCGTGCAGATACACAGAGGCTGGCCCTTGCCAGGGGTCACAACCTGGAAGTCCCCAAACCGTGTTCTCACGTCTGACTCTCTCGCCGGCGCTGAAATGTCTCTACAGACAGAGGAAGCTGAAGAGAGAGGTCATAAGGTTTTTGAAGACTATCTGATCAAGGTCCTTGAGAAAGTCCCCAAGGGTACGTATGTAGCTTCCTCAGCAGGCCTGTCCTCTCTGCAGGCACTTCCCAGCCTGGGAACCTGGGCGCGTGTGAGCTCGCTGAGCACTGAGCTCTCCTTGCAGAGTGGGGATCCACAGGCTGTTGCCACCGTGGTCAAGCCAGCCAGGGCACCAGCCATGTGGCCTGCAGCAAGTTCTCAACGTCTCTCTTCAGTGGGAACAGCAACAGTTCCGTGGGCTGGATCCTTTATGAGCACGTAGCCTGGAGCCCGATGTTTAGCTATAGCACCCAGTAAGTGTTAGCTATTATTATTACCTCATTTGTCTTTGATTTTGCTCTTAGGAACTAAAATTACACAGGCATCTGAAATGAGTTTTGTGTTCTGTTTTACCATGATTTGCACCAGAATCCACTGTTAGCAGTGCTGAAAACTTGATAGGAAAGAGGAGGGGAGCCAAACATACATAATTTTATTATCGTCATTGTCTTTACATCACCAATAATAAAAATAACTATTACTGTTTATGAAATATTTACTCTGCGCTAAGCTCTTTAGTAAATCTTTTTTACCCCTCTTTAGGAGCTGCTGAGAAGTGTGTTACCCAGGCTCAGTGAGGTTAAGGGACTTGACCAAGGTCTCCCAGACAGGAAGTGGTGGGGCTGGGTCTCAGACTCTGGTCTATCTGATTTCAGAGTCACTGTGCTAAGTGCTCTGGAGCTGCAGGAGCCCCAAGGACTCTGCCCTGGAGGTCAGGGAAGGCTTCATGGAGGAGGGGACCATTCATGGGGCTCACATGCTTTCAGCAAAGGGGAACAGCGCTGCAGGCAGAAGAACAGCACAGATGCAGGCTGGAGCCAGGCCCTGTGCAGTGGGTTTGGGGTTGAGTTCCAGTGTGCTGGAGCGCCATTATCCGCCAGGGGTCGCTGGGAGATGTGATTGGAAGGTTGAGCAGCACCAAAGAGCCTTGAGCACCATGCCAAGGAGGGGCGCAGGCCTCCAGGTCAGGCACAGGGTGTGAAGCAGACCCAGCACCCAGCGCTGCTTCTAGAAGCCTCCTAGTTTGGGACCTTCCTAATTCAGCAGTTCAACCCTGTTCAACCCATCCAGAATGAGCAAAGCTGGGGACCCCATCACGCGGGACAGCAACAATCCCTGTCCTCTTCCTGCAGGCTCCCCCAGTCAGCAGCTCCTCCCAGGGTGGCGGTGGGGGGTTCTCCTGCCTCACTGGGCAGCCTTGATCCAGAATGCCTGCTCTCAGCCGGCGGTGGCCTTTCAAATGCAGATTCTTCTCTTGAAGAGGTGGGAGGTCAGTGATGGGGCGCTCTCAACTTCGGGGCTCCAGTGGACAGCAGAAGTCCCACCTACATTATTAGTATCACTGCAGGGGGCAGGCGAGGGCTGGGCATTCTATGCCCACCCATCCTGCCATGCACTGTCTCTATAGGCTACAACCAAGGGGAGGAGCCAGAGGAGGCCCCGGTGGAGGCCATGGTGGGGCACTATGGGAAGCTCTTCGCAGTCAGCCAGGACATCCAGAAGCTTCTGGAGGCCTTCTTCAAGATGAGCCAGTTCGTGCACCAAAGCCTAGAGGGAGTCTCTAGAGGGAGGCCATAGGGCTCTTATCCCGGTAACAGCTGCCTGAAGCCCGGCCCATCCCCCTTGGCCCAGAGAACTGGGATATAGGGACCCCCTTCCCTCTGCATCCCCAGAGAAGGCCTGAGGCAGGCGCGGGCTCCTGAGAGGGTCTGAGTGGGGTGCTCACTCCAGAGCCTTGTTCTGTACCCCTTTCCCTCCCTTCCTGCTGGGTTTCTCCTGAGGAAGACTCAGCTTATACTTAAAAGGTGTTCTTCGTGGTAGAAAACTCAGGAGTTCTAGATTCAGACAGACTGGGGTTCAAATCCCAACTCAGCCTCTGACTAGCTGCATGACCCTGGGCACGTTTAGACCCTCTCTGAGCCTCAGTTTCCTCATCTGTGACATGGGGGCAATTCAACCTAGTTGGTAGGATGTTGTGAGACACTGAACACAAACTGTCTCAGAGTTAAGTGCCCCAAGAGGCCATCTCCCTCATAGTTGGTTCATCTTCTAATAAATTGAACTTTCACCCCAAGGGATGGGCATTCCATCCGGAAGAAACTACCCCGGCAAAGGCATGGCATGATGAATTTTTGTGCTGCAGCTGGGGCCTGGGGACACGGAGAAGACAGAGGACGGCGACATGGGGAGGAAGGGAACAGGGAAAGGCAGGCTGGCGAGTGGGCTGATTCTTGCAAAGGACAGTGGCATGGCATTTGCAGCCAGTCTCTGCCCCCTAGTGGTAGCACTGAAAACCTACACCATTTTGTACGGTTTTTTTCCTTCGTGGGCGGGGCACTGTGAGAAGCACTTAACAAGCTTTATCTCATTTAAACCTCACCCCAGCACCCGGAGACAGGTGCTTCTATTCCTAGAGCTGAGACTAGAGGAGAGGAGTGAGGTGAGCATGCAAGTAGAAGGTTGGATCCCAACTTTATTGAGAATTTTAATACTTTGTTCATCATGGATTTTTGGTTTTTTTGCATTAACTTTGATTTTTAAAAAACACTGCATTTGGGAATTCCCTGGTGGTCCAGTGGTTAGGACTCCGCGCTTCTACTGCAGGGGCACAGGTTCGATCCCTGGTTGGGGAACTAAGATCCCGCAAGCTGTGCAGTACGGCCAAAACCAAAACCAAACCAAAAAATTGCATTCAAATATTATTTATATTAATTCTGAGTTAAATGTTGCACCCTAGTCCCAGGCATGCCATTTTCAAAGTAAGAAAACTAGGCCTTAGAAAAGTGTGGACACATGTATATCCTGTGTCCTCCAAACACATCTCCGCGGGGCCTGGCGTGGGAGTGCACCCAGCACATCCTGTGCCCCGCAGGCCTGGGCCGCAGAGGCTGTCACAGCCTTGCCCCCTGGTGTCCTCCCAGCCGTTCCTGCAGCCGGAAGGGCCCAGACAGGTGGGTCTGCTTACGGTGAGAAAAGCGGGCTCCAGGAGCTGAGCTGGGATTCGAACCCTAGTCATCCTACACGTCCATTTTCCTGCATCTCCTGGTGCCTTAAAGGGCGCTGACCACCCAGAACTTTCTCCTCCTCCACCCCCATCATTGCTCAGATCCCCGAGCCGTGAGCTCCTCGGGACCAGGCCCAGGGCAGGCGCCCCGGGAGGTCAGCTGCACCGAATTGACCAGCCACCCTACCACAGAGCCTCAAGATCCGGCTGTGCCAGCTGCAGAAGAAGTGTCACCACAAGCAGGAGCAGTGGCGGCAGCTGGAACACAGTGTCACCTACCAGAAAGACACAGGCAGCTGTGATGTGAGTCCAGTCCACTGGCTGGGGTGGGGGGGCGGGCAGCCCAGGGGCCGGGGGCTGCTGTCTCCTGGATAATGATCGGCCCCCAACACACACACACACACGCACACACATGCGCACGCACACGCACACCACTTACCCACGTACCTCTCCTTGGTGACTGTTAGCTTTCAAAGGGCTTCTCTAAGACGAGCCAGATGTCACGTGACAGGTGGGAGAAGTGAAGCCACAGGTAGTTAGGGACCAGCTGGGATGCCCCCGTACAGTCCCAGGGCCTAGCATCTGTGCTCCTAAGTATTGGTTCATTCTTACTCATATCCATTCACAGATGAGAAGAATGAAGCTTGGAAAGAGTAAGTCAGGGCTAAAGTCCAGGGCCGGGATTTCTGGGTTTAATCCCTTGAGCTACTCCTTCCTGGCCTGGAGAATGTGGACTAGTTATTCTCCGGACCCCCGGGTCCTCCCCATAGCAGAGCCTGTGCCCTTCTGGCCTTGGGGGCTGCCTGGAGGACACCGGGGAGCAAAGGCTGGGGTACAGGGCTGTGCCAGGCACACTCCACCTGGGCAGGGCGCAGTCAGCAAATGTGGGACCTTCTCAGGCTCTTGTGGGATCCTAGTTTGGAAGACATGAGGGTTGGGGTCTGTGGGCTGCTGACTTCCAACCAAGGAGCTTTGACAGGGAACTGGATTGGCCACAGTTCATAGAGTCTGTTATGGGTCTTCCTCTTGAAGGTGAGAAGTGAGGTTGCTGATCACAGCCCTGAAGGCCTGAAGTCCACACCTCTGGAGCTTCCCAGAGTGAGGAGCCCTGGGTTCCCCCATGTCCCCTCCTGGCCCCTCCCCTGGGTGTGGACCACAGATGTGCCCAGCCGGGAGGACCCTCTTGGAGGTTAGTCGGTCCGGTGTCCCTCTTTGCAGAGGCGGATGCTCTGGCCCCGAGGTGGGGAGGGACGCGTCCAAGCCCCTTTGGTTGTGGAGCCCAGGCCAGCAGGAGGAGGTGGCTCCTGGCTTCAGGACACGTCTCTGGCCTGAGTGAGCTGGGGGCAGGGGGCAGGGAATTCTGGGAGAGGCCCGAGCCTGCAGGGCCGGCTGCTAAACTGCATGCCAATGGTCATCAACAGCACGGCCCAGCAGTGCTGCGCCTCTGCCCACGGCATGCCCAAGGGCACGGGTCTCTTCTCCAAGCTCGACCTCATCCGGGTGAGGACTCTCGTGCCCGGGCTGGCCTCCGGCCTGAGCCTGTCCTCGGCCTTGGCTCATGGCGCATGGGTGGTGAGCTGCCCTATTCCTCCACGGCTGCATGGCTCCTGCACGGGTGCGGTAGGGTCTCAGGGTCTCTTTTAGGCTCTCAACAAACTTGTAATGAACGCTCATTGGTGCAGGGTCAGAGGATTGTAAAGGAACTCCTGCCCTGCCTGGTCTTAATGTGTAGCCCCACCCCGGCACATCACACACATACACACACACGGGGTACATACTCATACAGACACTCCTATGGGCTCTCCACACACCCTGCAATATACACAAAACATACACTGACACACCTGCAAACAAACACACCAAGGTGCACACAGATGTAGTCACATTTACACGGGGAGGCACATTTCAGTGACCGAGGGAGCCTCTGTGCAGGGTCCTCATTTTAAACTTCAGACTCTCGTCAAGTCCACTGAGATTTCCCTTCTCAGTCGGAGGGTCCCCACCAGGACCAAACTCCCACCAGTCATAATGCTGATGCTGCAGTAATGGAGGTCATGTGATCAGGTTGGCTTCCACCCACAGCAACATATCTTGTTTTCTTTTTAATAATAGCTTTATTGAGATATAATTCTAGTACCCTAAGATTTACCCTTTTAAAGTGCACACTTCAGTGTTTTCAGTACAGTTGCAGAATTGTGCAACTATCATTAGTATCTAATTCCTGAATCTTGTCATCACCTCCCCAAAATACATTTTGTATCTGGCTTCTTTCACTTTGCATGATGTCTTCAAGTTTCATCCACATGGCAGCACAAATCATTCCTTTTTTTTTTTTTTTTTTTTGCGGTACGCGGGCCTCTCACCGCTGTGGCCTCTCCCGTTGCGGAGCACAGGCTCCGGACACGCAGGCTCAGTGGCCATGGCTCACGGGCACAGCCGCTCCACAGCATGTGGGATCTTCCTGGACTGGGGCACGAACCCGTGTCCCCTGCATTGTCAGGCGGACTCTCAACCACTGCGCCACCAGGGAAGCCCAAATCATTCCTTTTTATGGCTGAATAATATTTTGCTGCATGGATAGACCACTCTTTGTTTATCCATTAGTTGATGGATATTTGGGTTGTTTTCATTTGGGGGCTATTATGAATAATGCTGCTATGAACATTCATGCCCATGTTCTTGCATAGACATGTCTTTTCAGTTATCTTGGGTATAGACTTAGGAGTGGAATTTCTGAGTCTTGTGGTAACTCACGAGGTAACTCAGCGAGGAGCTGCTGAACTGTTTTCCAAAGCGGCTGTGTAATTTTACAATCCTATGATCAAAATATGAGGATTCCAGTTTCTCCATATCCTTGTTAACACTTGGTGGTCTGTCTTTTATAATTTAGCCATCCTAATGGGTGTGAAGTGGCGTCTCATTGTGGTTTTGATGTGCATTTCCCTGATGATTAATGATGTTGAACGTTCTTTCACGTGTTTATTGGCCGTTTGTATACCTTCTTTGGAGAAATGTCTATTCAGATCCTTTGACCACTTTTTAACTGGATTCTTTGTCTTTTTATTGCTGAGTTGTAAATATTCTTTGTATATTCTGGATAAAAGTTCCTTATCAAATATAGGATTTGAAAATATTTTCTCTCCTCCTATGGGTTGTCTTTTCACTTTGATGGTGTCCTTTAAAGCGCAAAGATTTCAATTTTGATGAAACCCAATTTATATATTTTCATTTTAGTTACTTGTGCCTTAGGCATCATATCTAAGTAACTATTGCCTAATCCAGAGTCATGAAGATTTACACCTAAGTTTTCTTGTAAGAAGTTTATAGTTTTAGCTCCAATATTTAGGTTTATGATGTGTTTTTAGTTAATTTTTGTATATGGTATGAGATAGGGGTTCACTTTCATTATTTTGCATAAGGATATTCAGTTGTCCCGATACCATTTGCTAAAAAAACTGCTCTTTCCTCATTGAATTGTATCCTCATTCTTGTCAAAAATCAATTGGCTGTAAATGTGAAGGTTTATTTCTGGACTCTGAATCCTATTCCATTGGTCCTTACGTCTGTCCTTAGCACTGTCTGGATCACTGCAGCTTTGTAGTAAGTTTTGTAATTGGGAAGTGAGTCCTCCAGCTTCACTTTTCCTTTTTGAGGTTGTTTTACTCTTGTAACTGCATGTCTTGCATCGTGCGTGGAAGTTCCGTGTCTGGGTGGGTTTCAGGTCTGGTGTGACCCAGGCCTCAGTGACACCACGAGGACCCGTCCTTTCCACCCTCCTTTGTCGCCAGCTTCAGCATTGGCTTCATCCTAAGTCATAACTTGCTTTACTCTTTCGAGGCAAGTTCAGTGGAGTTGTTTGAACTCGGGATTCTTAGCGCCTCTGGGACACTGGGGCCGAGTCCCATGGCCAGTGTTTTCTAGCAGCAAGAGTCCACAGTGAGCGAGCCTGCGTCTTAGTTGAGAAGAGCTCAGGAGAATTTCACAGGCAGTTATCAGGGCCTCTCTGCTCCATGGCACAGCTCTTGGGGCACCATTCACAGTGAAGGCTGCAGAACTGGCATCCCCTGAGGCATAGATCCTTCACATCATTATATATGAATGAGCATTTAAGTAAGGGCACATTTGCCCTACAGTCACAGTGTATTAATTTCATCTTCTTCCCCCGCAAAAAGGAAGAAATTACCCAGTGATGTCAGGTGTCCCAAAGATCTCCCTCAGCAATCACTCAGTCAAGTCTCAGAGTCACCCACATGCGTTCGGCATGGTACTAGGGAAAGAGAGGTGGAGGGAGATAAAGGTCACCTGGTCCTTAAGAAATGAGTGCCGCTCAGAGAGGGAGGCTGGGGGCAGTCAGGGTGGGCTTCTCGGAGGAAGCAGTGAGAAGAGGCAGGCAACCACATTCAGGAAGCTGCACAAGGACCTGGGCTTGGAGCCATCCAGCTCTGCCACTGCTGGGCTGTTTCGCTTCAGACAAGTCACTTAACCTCTCTGAGCCGCAGTTTGCTCATTTGCCAATTGGCATTGATACCACATCTTTGGCAGCGCCCTTGTGAAGACTAAAGGAGACGCAGGTCAGCCTTGATGTTGCTTTGGTCCCTGGGAAGTGGTGTCCAGGGGCCAGAGTACAGTCAAGTGAGAGAGATTTCTTTTTTCTCCTAGGAATTTATGTTGGACACAATGGAGACTGTGAGATTCATCTCACTGCTCAGGGGACCCAGAGTGTGCTGGACAGCAGACAACCCCAAGGACCAGGGCCTCAGAAGGTACCCCAGACCATTCAGGAAACATTCAAAGAGTCAAGATTCGATCCCCAGGACCCCCTTTCCTGGCACCCAGACTTCAGAGTCCCCAGCCTGTACTGACACAACCCAGGGCCACCAGCCCTGCCAGCATCACGACCATCTCTTTACCTGCTTGGCCTCCTTTTTTCACCACCAGCGCTCCTGAGTGGGTGGGAGCCAGGGGAGGCGGAGGTCAGTGAGAGGTGGGGCAGCTAGGGCCAGGTGGGGTTGAGGGGGCACTGTTCCCTGCATTGGGGGATTGGCAGGGATCGAGGTGAGGCCTGCCTGGGACTGTGGGTGAGACAGAGGGAGGTTCCCGAGTCAGAGGCAGCAGCCAGGTGGGAAGTCCCAGGTTGGAGACCTGCACCCAGAAGCCGGGGATGCATTTCTCGCTGTCATTGGTGGGTCTGTCTGGGGCCAAGGAGCTTGAATGGATGCCCGACTATTGGGAACGCTGCAGTCATAGGAACTCTCACAGAGAGCCACCCTGAGCCATAGGATGCGTGGGAGCTGGCCTGGCCCACAGCAGACCGGGGGTACTCAGTTTGTAGGAGAACATCTCATCACTGGTTCCCAGAAGCTGGATACCAGTTTGGTGCCTTCTGCCCACCTGAGGGTCCCTGAGCTGCCTGGAATGAGTGCTACTCTCAGGGGGACTGGGGGCAGGGCAAAGCCCCTCTCTGAGCTGGTTTTCCCACGTGTGAAATTGGGTGCGAGGATGTCTAAGGGAATCCTCTCTCCAGTCTGACGTTCTTAGGTCAAGGTTAGAAAGGCCTCTGCGTGGATGGCACTGGCTTGGTGTTATTGAGCCACGGAGGTGAAATCACCCTGGCAGCCACCGCAGCCCCGAAAAGGATTCACTTCTGCGGGTCTGCTGATGTTAACTGATTTAGGTTAACTTTGAAAGTTCGGAGCAACTGATTTGCAGCAAATGGTGGGGCATCAGCAAATTACCTTTCAAAGGGGAGTTTCAGAAAAGATGCTGCTATTCCTTCAACAAGCACCGAGGGTCTGCTGTTTTCCAGGTGCTGTTGGGAGAGGGGACGGGAGGCTCGGAGGGAGGGGGTGGGAGGCTGGGTAGGACTTGGGCACTGAAATATTTAGGGGAGCTAAATATAAGAAAGAAGGTTATGTAGGGTCAGGTCTTAAGAGCAGTTTTTTTTAAAAGGCCGAGGGGAGTTGCAGAGAAAGCATCATTTTGAGTTTCTGACTCTCAGGCCTTTGGGGCAAAGAGAGCATCCCAGGTAGGGCTTGAGTCAGATTTCAGAAGGGAGAGGTTGGGGGAGGGCTGAAGAAACTGAAGGGAACACAGTGTAGGGCTTCCAGTTTGGCTGGAGCACAAAGAACCCGACGGGCAGTCTGAGATGGTGGGCTGGGGAGCTACCGTGGGGTCCCAAAGGCCAGGCTACGAGGTTTGGAGGCCATACCTGGGGGTGTCTTAGACCATTCCGGCTGCCATAGCAAAATACCATACACCAGGTGGCTTAAACAACAGATGTTTATTTCTCACAGTTCTGGAGACTGGAGGTCGAAGATGACGGCATTGGCAGGTTTGGTGTCTGGTGACAGCCCACTTCCTGGTTCAGGTGGTAGAAGGGGTGATGGAGCTCCCGGGGTCCTTTTCATAAGGACACAAATCCCATTCATGAGGGCCCCACCCTCGTGACCTAATTGCCTCCCAAAGGCCCCACCTCCTAACACCATCACACGGGGGTTAGGATTTCAACATAGGAATTTAGGGAGCAGGCACATTCAGTCCATTGCAGGGAGCATCTCGCATCCATACCTCACTGCTTACTTTCTCTCCACCCAACATCCACTTTCCAAAGAGATCTGAAGTATCTCATTAGTCTCCCTGTAATGTGGGCACATGTTAGGCCAACAATTATTAGATTTGAACATTCCTCAGGAGGGCTTGTCACAACAGAGTGTGGGTCTACCCCCAGAGCTTCTGATCCAGCAGGCCTAGGGTGGCCAGGCCTTAGAATCTGCATTTCTGACAAGTTCCCAGGTGATGCTGATGCTGCTGGTCTCAGGCCCACACTTTGAGAACTGCTGCTTGGGAGTAATGGCAAATCCCAAACGCCTAAGCTGGGCTCTGCTTCACCTGGAGTACCAACTCCCCCTGCCTGGTCTGCAGTCCCCATCTGCACAATGGGGCAAGCGTCATGGGGACCTGGCATCCTGGGAGGGCCATCCCCACCCCGTCTGACCTCCTGGGAGGTGCTGAACATGACACCCTGTTAGGGGCCCAGGGAACAGTCCTCTCACTTTGCCCACAGAGGCTCTGTGAAGAGCTGTTGTCTTTCTGTCCTCTGCCATCTGCCTGCTGTGCACATGTTGTGTGTATGTTTGCAGGTCTAGTTCAGATGTTTGGCACACTCCTTGGGGAGGAGGGCCATCAGAACAGATACCTGGGGTGGCGGTGACCTGGCCATTAGTCTAAGTTTGCAGTGGGCACCTGAGTCTTTTAGGAGCTCCCAGCCTCCTCTGGGCAGAGCTTGGGTCATGAAATTGACAACTGGGCACTGCGCTTAGGGACCCTGCTCTCTTAGGCTGCTGGCATGTACTAGAACGCTGGGGTTTATCCTTGCTGGGCTTTCTTGTCAGACAGAAAGCTCTCTCAGCCCTGACCCTGTACCTTTAAAGCACTTTCCTCCTGGGTTCCATATTAGCTGGAGAAAGGCCTTCGAGGGCATTTGGAGAAAACCACAGTGGTTCAGGTACCTTATGAAATATCATTTCATCTGACTGCCCATCTAGATCCTGAGACCCCAAGACACTAGGAGGCTCAGGGCTTAGACATTTTCTGAGACTGAGAGCTCATTACCTGACGTCAAATTCCAGCTTTAATTTTCTTCAAGTGTGAGGACATTCTTTCTACAGACCATCCAGGGAGAGTTGGACTATTAGCTAATGGCTGGTGCTGAGAAAATTGGCTAGTTGGCAGGAAAATCAAATTATGTCCTTTTTCCACACCACATACTGTAGTATATTCCAGTTCCTTTGAATGATGGCTTTCCAACTTTAATGTTCATTAAAACCACCTGTGGGGCTTCCCTGGTGGCGCAGTGGTTGAGAGTCCTTCTGCCGATGCAGGGGACACAGGTTCGTTCGTGCCCCAATCCAGGAGGATCCCACGTGCCGTGCAGCGGCTGGGCCCATGAGCCATGGCCACTGAGCCTGCGCGTCTGGAGCCTGTGCTCCGCAACGGGAGAGACCACAACAGTGAGAGGCCCGCGTACCGCAAAAAACAAAAAACAAGAAACAAACAAACAAAAAACCCCGCCTGTGACACTTGCTAAACAGGGCTCATTCTCAGAAATTCTGATTCTGGCATGAGGCCCCCAAAATCTGGATTTTGAACAAGCATCCCAGATGGTTCCAGTGCAGACTGGTCTCCAGTCACGGGGTGAGAAACACTGAGTATCTCAATGTCAAAAAGAAGAAAATCTGCTCCACATTTACCTGGTCTTTAGTGAGGAAGAACTTTGGAAGCATGAAAGCAACAGCAGTGACACGAAAATAATTTGACCACGTAAAAATGAAAAATGCATCCACCTCAGAACACAGCCAAATATCTAAAGACAATAAACTGGGGGGAAATGGTGAGAAATTTGAAAAAGGATCAATGTTTTTGATATTTAAAGAACACTTACACAGTAAAAAAAAAAAAAAAAAGACGTCAATTGTTCATTTCAGCAAATCACAAAATAAATAAAAACGGCCTATAAACATGAAAGGTATTTCGCTTCACTAAAAATAAAATTACACCTCATAACTTTTGCCCATCAAAAAATGCTTAGTTAATACACTAATGCATATAAGATAGGCTCTCCAACACTGCGAGGCTGTTTGCATAAACTCTCTGGAAAGCAATTTGAGAAGAGATCTTAAGAGGCTTACAAAATGTTTATGTCCTTTGGCTCAGCAATTCTAGGTCAAGAAATTTAGGTTAATAAAACCAGAGCTATTTGGTTCAAAATGACAGAAAGCCCAACTCAACTTGGCTTAAGCCACAAAAGAGAATGTATTGGCTTATGAAACGAGAAGACCAGGGATTGTAGAGCTTCAGGAACAGCTTGATCAGGAACTCAGTGGCAACAGAATCCAGTCTGTCTGTGGGCTCTGCTCTGCCACAGCTTGGCTTCATTTTCAGGCTCAGCATAAACAAGATGCCTGGCAACAACCTCGGCCCCGCATCCTTTAAAGTGGAAGTCAGAGGAAAAGAGAGAATGTCTCTTCCCAGTAAACCCTGGCAAGTTCCAGGATTTACTCTAATTGGATCACCTCGGGTCAGGTGTCGCTCTAAACAAATCTCTGATTGGCTAGGCCTAGGCTCCCTGTGCATCCTGAATGAATCTCTGTAACTAGGGGAGATTCCATGCTCTGATTTCCAGGACTTGATCAAATTTTTGTTTGAGTTTTTGTGAGATGGAGTATCTTTCATGGCTGGAGACCAACCATATGAACTGAAAGAAGGGTTCCCCAAAGGGAAATCAGGCAGCTGTTATTACAGGGAGGTGAGACCTGGCGCTGGGCAGGCACAAGCCAGAAATGCCCTTTACAATACAGAAACGGTGTCTGTACCAAAATGTCCACCACATTGTTACTTACAGTAGTCAAACTGGATACAAACTCAATATCTCAGGGGAAGAGTTCAGTCAATGATGCAAAACTTTATGATTTTATAATTCTGCAGCCATTAAATTCCATGTTTTCAAAAATACTTAATGTAAGGAAAATTATCTATAGGGTGTAAAGTTAAGTGAAAAAAGCAAGCATTTTTTTTAAGTTGAATATAAACTCAATTTAGTAAAAATTATATATGTAAAAGAAGGAAATAGACTAAAGCAGTGCTTCTAAGTGGGAGGATCCTGACCCTGGGGTGGAGTGGGAAGTATTATACCCACTGGGTACAGTAGATTGAGTAAGTGGTCCCTAGTCTCCACCCCCTGTGGTGGCGTCTACATCTGCGCTCCTGCCACAGGCTCAGTATTCACTTCTTGGCTTTGGGTTGGCCCTGTGACTTGCTTTGGCCAATGGGATGTCAGTGGATTATGACACAAGCAAAGGCTTAAGACTTATTGTGCAGTGGGGCTTGTGTGCCTCTGGGAGCCTCCTGGTTGCAGGGGGATGAGAGCCACAGGGAGCTGACATAGACCAACCTGCAGCTC